TTTCAGATCAGTATTCTCTCAGTGATTTAAGCTTTCATTTGAACATAGATAATGTTAAGTTCTTCATCGTCCGATTCAGATGATTTTGAGTTCAGAGACTGTGCTACAAATGAATGGCAACGGATGAAAGAAGCAAGATTGAAGGTACATAGGAACAGAGCAATCGCAGTCAACCGGCATGTATAGTTCACCGTCCCTCAACACCTTGAGATACGGTGTATAGTTGTACACGTGCGTGCCTGTGAGGGCAATCGAATTAGATGGAGAAGGAAAATCAAGATGAAATATTCACACATTAAAATATGTGAAGGATACGTTGATTTTCACTTCGGAAGGAGTTCCATAACTCCACCCCCCCAATTTAACTGCATATGCCCCCCATAACTATACATATCCTGAAGAGAGGCATATGCAATTAAAATGGGGGGAGGGGCAGAGTTAGGGTTATAGTTATGGGTGAGGAGGCCCTAAGGAAGTCTTGCCTTCACTGCTATACTTTTTTTAAAGTCGACCTCAGGGGAAGAAAAATGTATTACTAGTATGTAGCAGGCAATGCCTGGCAAGCGAGCGCAGCTAGGCAGTTTATAATAAAAACAGACTTGACATGTAACCAGGAGTGTATTCGCTTTACTGCATCGGTGTGCCTGAGCTACATGGTGGTACAGGTGACCTGTAGTAACTGAAGGGCTCCCAAAGGAAGTTGCATCGTATAATGTAGAAGTTCGTTGTTACAATGTATGCAAGCAAAGCTCATGTACAGCCTGAGTGTATGAATTTCTTTTTAAAAACACACCCTTTTGCATTTTATGTTGGAGAAAATTTCAAAAACAACTTTTCACCTAAAGATTTTGACAATCAAAACTGCCTCAAGACAGCCCAGTTGTGATATTGCATTGCAGTCAAATAAAAACTGGGTTGAGTTAAGGTGACCCAAGGCACTCCGTGGCGACAATATTTACACACTCCATCAAATGTTGAAGCATGTGAACCGAAAATGCACCATTTACAAGCTAATAGGCTATATTGATTTCTTCCAATTCTTTGATATATACACATGTTATCTATAGAGCTCGCTTAGTGCGCTTAACAGCAAGAATTTATGAAGATAAAGGTATGCAGATATCCGTGATGATATCTACTGATAGTTGCCTTTCTGTATTTCTCTTGGTTTTGCTGTTCTTTTGTTTGTTGTCATCGTCTGGGTTTCTTCATCTATCAAAAGGAGATCGTTGAACGAAATAGAAATTCAGCAAACTACTGTGCAACCAAGAAAACTACAGAACTACAGCTATATGCAAAGAAAATCCTTTTCTGTATAGGCTCTACGAGTGCATCTAACAAATATATTTCTATCTAATGCCAGACAGAGAACTGAATTGTAAAGATGCTGATTTATTCTTCTTTAACTAGGAGGGTTACCGAGATGGTATAACAAAAGGTGAAGAGGAAACCCTACAACGAGGCTTCAATAAGGGTTATGCTGAAAGTCTCCCAAAAATAATGAAAATTACATATCTTAAAGGCATTGTGAGGTAAACACACATGTATGTGGGATAGCATGTGTATTGCTGGATTTTAGCAATGGTGGCCAATCACATGTTTATGAGTCAAAACTTATTTTTCATACCCTTTTTGTTGAATAAAAACATTCATTTCCATGACAATTTTATATGCTCATGTTGATTTCAGCACATAGCAAGTAAACCAGAAATTTTTATCTTGGTCTGGTAGATGAGACTGATAAATGCCTTTGTATCTGGCCGCTTCTACAGATACAGATTACTGTAGATTAGTTTTACTCTGGATGAAATTTTAATGTCCAGTTGAATGGTAATTTAAGATTGCAGTCATGACACTGCCCTCTAGTGTTGAAAATGCAGAAATTGTTTTGGTGATATGATTTAATGTGCTCTGAAGAAACAATTCAATGTAGTATCAAGAATTTTGCACCAGATTTTGTGTTTGGATATTAAAAAAAAGACAGATGTTATATTGTAATTCTATGTGGTTGTGGCATCCCAGATACTTTATGTTGGAAAGCTGCAATAAGAATTAGAAAGCATGATTTTATTTTGCTGAAAAAAATGTTTTTTCTGGTGAAATATAATATAAAATTTATTTTGTCACAGAAGCGTTGGAAATTGGTTCATTAAAAAACTTGCATGAATGTATTTTGATAAAGATACAAATGAAATATGTTAATTATATGCAAACTGGGATGATTAATATTCATGGTTGTCTTGAATGAATTTTATTAAGATTGTTTTTTTTACATTTTATGGTTTTATTTTATGTTATTTCCAGTGCTCTTCAGACACACAAATCAATTCAGAGTGAGATGTCCACAGATGCAAAAGAACTAAACATACTCTTAGAAAGAATTACAAAACTAGAAATGGAACTCAAAGAAAATAGGACAGGCATACATTCTAAGGTTGAGAGCGTAACCATGGAATCAGAACAAAATGTTGAAGAAACAAAAATGAATGAAGCAGGAGCACTCAGTACCAGTGATTTATCTGCTGATCAAGACCAGCAACTAGGCACAATAAACAAACTACAATTTTTGAAAGATGGAAAAATTACAAAAATAGGATTTCTTGAATTGTCAAAAGAAACTGTTGCCACAGAGAGTTCAAGAATTGAGGATATTTATGAAAAATGTTGTAAATTTTATAGGAAAATGTTTGATGATGATATGATATAATCATTTGTGAAATAAAGGAAAGAAGTGTTTTTATCTGATTATTTGTAATTTTGAATT